AATTTTAGGCCTTTCTGTAATTATTGTCATTAGCAACACCTGGCTAGGGCCATCTCTGGACAAAAGCATTTTATCTGAGACATTTCTCAATTCCAAGGACAGACTGCAGACATAAACATTCCAGACCACACACTACTCTCCTGATATAAGGTAAATACCCATATGGAGACAACTGCCAAGTTCAGGCAGATGTTAGGTACAAAGTTTTGTTTCTTGTGCAAATTAAGCTTTAACCCTCCCTTCTTCCATAGCCTTAGTGGTATCTCTAAACTTCCCCTTTAACAATTAACTCAGAACAAAAGAACTTTCACAGACCAGGTACATCAAGCAGTGACACAAGCTTCCTGGGGGCAGACTGCCCTGCTCAAGCAGAAAGTGGCAGAGCCAGAGAATTGAGGATAGTATGTGTATGTAAACTGAACTGGGGAGAGGGGAAGGGAACAAAGATGGAAAGAACTTAGATAGAACAATGAGGGACAGAAAGGAGCTATGAGAACAGAACTGAAGCTATGTGGAGAGATTTTTGACTTAAAAGAATAAAGTGAATGGACTAAAGAGCTCGGTGTACTTAGATTCATTCAAGTATCCCTCAGATTAATTTATCTACCACTGGTAACATCTCTTCTGGAACTCTGGGAGAAAACTATAGAAGGTCTGGACCCTAATAGTCTTCAATAGGGTAGGCTCTGTTTGCTAGTGTCAAGCAGAGACATGGGTCTTTTTAAGAGACAGCTTCCTGGCTCAGTGCTAGTCACAAAAATGGCCCTGCTACTGAACAATTAAATGGGGTTTATGATCAGCAGGCTGTGCACTACTTGGTGGCAGTGTGGACCCAAAAACTCCCCAGAGTTGGGGCCATAAATGTGGTTTACTCTCTTTGGTACTTCTGCCATGAAACTAGATTCACAGGGAACCAAGAGGGATGAAACCAGCCACAAAATCGGAGGCTTTGGTGCTAGCCACGCTGATTAACAGTTTAAAGGCTCATGTGGTCAGAAAAAGATTACAGATATGCAATAGAGATTCAGACATAAAAAAGAAAAACCTCTAAATGGGTTACAGTGTGTTTAAAAATATGTGTAGGCCTATTTGTAATAGCCAGAACCTGGAAACAACCTAGATGCCCATCAACGGAAGGTTGGATGAAAAAAATGTGGTACATATACACAATGGAGTACTACTCAGCAGAGAAAAACAATGAAAGCATGAAATTTGCAGGCAAATGGATGGAACTAGAAAAAATC